AATTGAAATCTCTACCTACTTTCACCTATGAAAGGTGAAACCTCAGAATTTGGTAGACAAAGACTTCACAAGGTCTCCTGGTTTTGCCTCTCAAGAAGAGTAAGTGCATATTTCATGATCTTTTGTATATTTTCAACCTTTACACGATAACAGAATGCATTTCATGGTTGATGTTATGAACTGGTTACTCTGGTAAGGAGGGGAGAAAGAGATGGAGGGAGACAGAATTTTTTGATACTTTAGGAGAAGGAGATTTTAGGAGGAATTTAATATAGAAAGGGTACCACTAGCAAGAGACAGTTAGAAATGTCAGTGACCTTATAAAGATCTCAAAGAAGGCATACTAGCCAGGATATAATAGGAAATCTGTAACACAGATTTAAGAGCTATATCAGCATATTCTAGAGAGAATTTTCAATAATATTGAATTAATTAAATGATTTCATGCTACGGATATATATGGATACCACCACCAAATCTCAGACACACACACACACACACACACACACACACACACACACACACAATGTTGAAATGAATAATGGCAGAGCTTTATCTGTCACTTATCTTTTGACCACATAACTTCCAATATTTACACACTTTAAGCTCCAGGGAACACACATATTAGTAGGACACTAGGAAAGGGGAGGCATGAGCATGCATGTTTTTCCATCACTGTGGATGTGTGTGAATGTGTAGGTGAATGTATTTGCCCATGAAGATCAATAGACGGGATTCACAGTAAGGCAACTCGGAGAGGGTATGCAGCACAGATATACGTTAGAAGTTCAGGGAGGATTTCTTCACCCAGAATATCTCACAGCTCTATGTGTACCCCCCTGGAAGGGCCCTGGAGATCCCTGGAAGGTAATGATCCAACCCAAGTATGCACTTACTTGCATGAGGCAAAGCAGTGTGGTTTCTAAGTTAAAATTCTGTGACGCAGGCAGCATGACCTCACAACGTGCCCTTCTTCCCTTCCTAATAAGCAGCCCTGGAAACCAATAACATCAGTTTCACAGAAAACTGAAAATCATTTTATGTGGGTTCACAGATTAGCATTTACTGTTTACTTGCTTTTTATTTTTTCCATGTCTCCTTTAAAAAGATCTCCATTGATTATCCTGACACCTGCTGGCCAAGGTGCAGTGGATTCTTTTCCTTTCAACAAATTTCTCCACTCAAAGACTTTAGGGAGATTTTCTCAGAGGATTTAGTACTCAGTTTCAGGATCTGTAGTCCTTTACCGCCAGCATTATTTCATATGAAACCATGAAGAACTCTTAAAATACTTCCTCCATTTTATATGGGCAGGATTTGACTCTGCATAAGTTCATGTCTGCTGCAATTAACCAAAATATGTGTGTGCGTGTGTGTGCCAGAATAAAAGCACACACACATGTCAGTTCTTAGAAATTTTCAGTTTTTAATCAATAGAAATTTAGCCAGAACACATTTCCATAACATCTTCCTTGAATTGCAATAAAGACCTGAACAGGAATGACTTGACTATGTTTTCTGTACTTTTTTCTATAATAAAATCCGCTTTCAAACTATTTAGCCAAAAGAAAAACATTTGGGAATCATATAAGCCATATTACTCATTATATATTTGTAAAATTTGCTGATTTTTTCAGTACCACCTCATTATGGATGTACTTGTAGCTTGAATTGAGTTCTGCAGCCTGCCCTAGATTTGGCAAAGATATAATAAAACTACTACTACATCATCAATCATATGCAAAGCTATTTCACTTGCAAGCCTCTACAATAAACAAGGAACATCAGAATTACGTCCTCTGGCTTTAGGAAACCCTCAAATGAGGAAGGTTTTTAAAATATTGTACACCAATGGCAACATACATAATCTCTTCCACTACTCACGACTCTTCTAAAGATAAAACATCTTGAGAGTAAGTTGCCTAATTAAAAATTTATCTTAGTTAATATCAAGAAAGTTAAAGAACTTGGAGTTCTAATTTAGGCATTTAAAACTGTTAAGCAAATTTTGGAATGGTTTTGAGTACTCATAGTATTTTATATGAAGCATATATGTTTTGCTGCTTTATACTGTTATTTTTTGGGAGAAGAAAAATTCTTAAATATATAGAAAGAAGAGTAACAGCTATTAAACATTCTGTTAAAATATGCTAGGCCCTAAAGGCATGTTTTACATGAACATAAATCTGAAGATATTTGGTAAAAATATCAGAGATCTAATTTAAGAAATTGTTCAACAGTGCAATACATGGTCTTGTTTTGAATGTCTTTGCCACTTTAACTCCACAGTTTAGAAGAACAAACCATTGTAGCTTTTTTGGCTTGTTTGTTTTTATTATGACTGTTTTCCCAGTTCATATACAAGTAAAGCACAATGCACTGTAATTCTGAGATCACATTTCACATTTCAGAAATAATCAGAGAAACTTTTTCAGGTCCAGAGGAAAAAGTGCATTGCGTTATGGCAGCTTATAACACAAAATCAGTGAAAAACCGCCCCAGCTGGACACAGTTTTCACTCACTTATTACACTCAATCTAATCCTTCAAAATTACTCAAAGTGTTTCACCTTGAACCTAAAGGCAGCAATGCATATCTGAAGTATAAAGTAAATGATCACATAAATTAGGGAATAAAGACAAGGATGTACAATAACAACAAACAACACAGAGACCTGTAAATTCAGGGAACACATTGCGATACTGATCACAGACCTAGTCTTGTGGAGAGAGACTGCTCAGGTATTACTTTATTCACATGTAGAACTGACTAAAAATCGCCATTGATTAAAAACTGAAAATGCCAAGGATCCTGAGCATTTTGGCCAGTGTAGACATTTTTAGACAGTGCCATTTTCTTAAAAGACTTCAGGCTCAAACTGCAGGCAAAGGGACGTATTGCATAAGATGTCACGTGCTTGCTGCAACTGTGTATGCATGTTATTGAATTTTTTAGAGCAACCCATAATGATGAATAATTTAAGAGTTAATGAAATATTCAATCTGACTGATCCATTGGTTTAATTTTAAAATAAAGATGACTAATAAAAGGAGTTACACATCCTTATCAAATTCCAGGCACGAATGCATGTAAATTGCAACCCACGCTGAGGGAAAACACCAGTTCCTCTAAGACATTAGATACACTGGAGGCGGGGAGGGTGGGGGAGGGAACCTGCTCCATCTTAGCACCGGCTCCCTAAGTTTGCACCGAGTTTAAGTGTTTGGAGGTGTTGGCCAGGCTGACAGCCTCCTGCAGAGCTGAGAGAAAAACAATTAGGGAGGTGCAAATTTGGCGGAAACAGCTCCTGCAAAGGGGTCCTTCCGGCACCCTGCACCGGCGAGGGCTAGCAGAGGGCAAACCTTAGGATAATCCTGCAGCACTGGTCTGCGGAGAGGGTCAGGGACTACCAGAAGGGGAACAGCTCCTCCGGGAGGGCGTGACTGGAGGACTTGGGGGCGCGCAGGCCTCCGAATCTTGGCAGACAGAGCTCGCTCGGGCAGCCGCTGCGCCTGGGGCTCCAGCGGCCAGAACCGGCACTGGCGCGACCCTGCTCACGCTCCTCTCGCACCCACGCCTGCAGCTCGGAGCCGGGCGGGGAATGGACCTGGGCGGTGGCGGCGGGGTGTAGGCGCCAGCGGAGGACGCGTGTTGCTCCAGTTTGGGGCGGGCGCGGAGGCGGGGAAGGAGGGCGGGGAAGGGAGTGACTGCGGTCCGTGCCCTTCCCTTCCCGTTAGGGGGCAAAGTGCAGAAGGGATCTAGAGGAGAGATAAAGAAAGGAATAACCGGGGAGAAATCTCTCCTTCTCGCTAGGGCTCGGGCACAATGCGACCACTGGATCACGGCCGAGCTGACACCTTCTGTGGAGAGGCTGCTGCCTGCTCCCCAAAAGGGCACTTGGGGAGACACAGGCGAGGTGTACACCTCCACGCACGCCTCGGCGCCAGGAGCCGAGTCTCAGTCCCAGCTAGGCGGGAGGCCGAGGCAGGGTACGGCCAAGGCTGGAGCGCATCGGGGCAGCAGCCCCGGCGTCCTGGCCTGGCTTCCCTGTGGCCCGAGAGCCCATCTCCAAGTCGCTGGCTGGACAGGTGCGCAGAGGCAGGCGGAGCACCCACGCCGCGCGTCCGCCAGGTGTTGGCTCTCTTTGCTCATGGCAGCCGGTTTCCAAGCCCGCAGCGCGCACCGCTCCGCGCCCGCAGCTGAGGAGCAGCCAGCGGCGGTCGGTTCTCGGGCCGCCCGCTGGGTGCGCGCAAAGGGGAGCAGCTCCCCGCCCGCCGCCTCCCCAACCTCGGGTCGCCCCTTCCTAGCCCCGGGTCTGAAAGAAGCCCTGGAAGCGCTTCCAGATGCGCAGAGGACCTGAAAGTCACTTGAACAACTCAGCAGGACGTACATTCAAGTCCTGTCCTGCAATTTTTTAAGCCCCTTTTATTTGTGTTTCCATTTTTTCACCCAAGTTAGGAAAAGCTCGGGCCAGACTGCTCTTGTAACTTTTCCGCTCCCGGGCTAGGGGCTCAGAGACTGGGCGGCACCGCGCGGTCCCCGTGACCCAGAGCAGCCCGGGTACCCAGGAAGACAGCGCAGAGCCGCAGGCCGGATCGGGGCGCGCCGGTGGCTGCAATTCGCAATCCGCGGTGCGCGTCGGGAGGAGGTGGTGACGGAGGCGACCTCGGAGCCGCAAACCTCCCCAGACCGCTGATCCCAGCGCGGGTCCGAATCGGCGCCGCCGCCCCGCGTCTCTCCAGCCCCAGGCGCTCGCGTCCCAAGCCCCAGACCAACGGGGCCGCACCTGCGGGCCGGGCTCAGGCTGGAGCACGACCTGAGAGTCCTGCGCCTTACTAGGTCCCCGGAGCACCTTCCCCTCCCGTCCTCCCCGCGATCTCCACCGCCCCTAGTTCACAGCACTTTCGGGGCTCCTTGGGCGCACAGCCGCCTCCGCCGCCGCGCTCGCCCCTAACCCCGCGGGGGTCTCCGGGGACGTCCCCCGCACCCCGCGATCTCACCTCTGCAGAGCCGGGGAACCCCGAGACAGAGCCCGAGCAGGAGCCAGGCAGCCGCCGAGCGCGGCATCCTGCGATGCTGAGGGCCGAGTCGAGGTGGCACCGCCAAGGAGAGCAGAGACCCCGCCCGGGGTGCAGGCGGGCTGGCGGGGCTGGAGAAGGCTGGGCGCGGCGGGTCCGTGAAGAAAGAGGACCAGGAGGACTGAGAGGAGGCGGAGGCGCAGGAGGTTCCGCCCTGCTATGCCTGCGCCCAGCAGAGGCGGCCAAGCCGAGAGGAGACCCAGCCGGGCGCGCTGTGTACAAACAGAGCAGCGTGCGCCCCGCGCCGGCTCTTATCCCTGCCGCCCCTCCCCCTGCCGCCCCTCCCCCTCCCACCTCCTTTTTCTCTCCCTCCTCCTCCTGGTCTCCCACTCACTCTTCTTCCTCCTGGTCTTCAGTCTTATTCCCTCCCCTGCTCTCCGCCTCCCTCCTCTCTTCCTCTCTCTCTTTCAACCTCGAATCTGAGCCCCCTCAATTCTCTCTCCTGCTTCTGTCTCCTATCCCTGCCGCCTTCCCACCTTCCCTCTTCTCTTTTCTTTCCCTGTCCCTCCCCTCTTCCCCACCCAGGTTTCGGGGCCCCCGGCCCGGTTGTCGATGGGAGCCCCTCTAGGAGTCAGACTCTGGGGCTCCCGGCGCCCCATCACCATCAGCCACGCACGGAATCCCCTCCGCTTCTCCCTTCAGTGCAGCCAGGAGAAGTTAGGGGGTGCGTGAAAAGTGGCTCTGGGTCCGCAGAGCTGCGGGGGACGCCGAAGGCGCGAAGCAATTGCCCCGGATTTCCCGGGGGAGCCGCGGGGGCGCAGCTGGCTCCGGGGCGGCGCGGCACTTTGCTCTGCCGGGCTGGGGACTCAGGGTAGAGGGCTTTGCGATGCCTGGGCCAGAAGGGTGGAACCAGGCGGAGAGGATCTGCGTCCCTTGCAGCAGGACGTCTGCTTCAGATAAGAAATCCTGGGACCAGCTTGTAGGAAAGAAATCTAAAAACCAAGGACAGATTCTCAGAGCCTAAGTCAGGCAGGTCGAATTTCGCTGCGGCCACAAAACTAAAGTGAAGGGACTGGTGTTTTTTGCTGTTGTTGTTTGGTTGGTTGGGTTTTTGTTTGTTTGTTTTGTTTTGTTTTGCACTGAAATTGAACCAAAAATACAGCCCGTGGCTTCCCATGGTGCTTTCTCCTCTGCTTTTCCGTGAGAATGATTACTGACTTTATACGGATCTCATTTCGGTCTTGCAGGTTTCAAATGAAATCTCTCTCCCTCTTTCTGTGGAGAGAAACACAAGCGCAGAGAAACCGAACAATCTGCAAGAGCAAGAAGTCCGAAGGCGATGGACTATCAGAGGACGGTGGGCACTGGGCTCCTGAAGACGACTTCGCTTTCCTCTGAGTCCCTTCAACCCCCATCTTTGCCGCAACCGTCAGATAGGGAAGAAGGTTGCCCGGGATGGAGCAGAGCTGCTCGGCAGCCGCTTGGTGCTGGACCACAGGGAACAGGAGAAATCAGTGCACCCTTTCACAGCAAGGGTCCTGCCAGCCTCCACGTGTGTGACAAGGTGAAAGCACATTTTAAGACATGCATTTTGCAAGCGAGTATTCGCAGGAAGTTCATGTATTTTCTATCTACTTTTATGCACACAGCCACAGACGTTAGAATAAGGCAACGTGGCCCAAAGTTATAGCAAAACAGTTTCGAACTGGTCCAACTTTCTGGCACATGGTTCGTGCTTCACTGTGAAATTTGATTCTTATCAAGAGGCTACCTAGTCCTCATTAAGGACTTCTTTATCTTTTGAGATGAGATCTCTCAGACTAGTCTTAAGGTATTATTCCCAAAGGACAGTAAGCACTCATGAATATTCAGAATCAGTCTCTGATGGGACAGTGAAAGGAAAAAAAAAGGTTAATTCATTGATTTGTTTGTTATATTTTATTTCCACTATTTTTGTCAAATATGATATTAATAAACATGGTATCAAATTAAATTTTTGGCAATGTTTATGTTACTAAATATCTGCCTTTTCTTTAATTTAGAGGTTTTTGAAACTCCAGTGAGCAAAACTAAACTTTTAAATGGTGATGTTATACCCAGTGGGGGACCCATCCTTAAAAGACTGGTCTTTACTACCTGCTACAACCTGTGGAAGATGTTGACAGCTTAATATCTTATTTCCTTTTTTAATTAAAAAATGGATACTTACTGTTAAACACATAGCTGCACATGCACACAGATTCCTGCTTTCAAAATGTTTATTTATAATTACCATCTACCAGCAAGCCTTTCATTGTGAAGATCACAGGTGGTTTAGTTTACTTACTTTTACAGTATTCATTTAAACCTTACTGAATTCATACATAACCCTTTCAGAAGTGGAACAGGAGATGTGTTAAAAGACCACGTACTGAATTATAAAAAAAAGAGAATGGGAAAGATCTACTCTGTTATCAATCTTCTACTTCACCTAAGGTGCTAAGGAACCTTTACTTATTGCCTATTGCCCAGCTTACAGTTTTATGGTTTCTCCAAATATGTGCTTAAAGTACTGAAAATGAATCTATACATCATTGGAGAACAGCACTTCCCACATTGTTTGATGCAGGCCTCCATTCGCCCAAGATGTTAAAATGTTTCTGGAAAAAAAAAAAAAAAAAAAAAAAAAAACAATGTTTCATGGCCGAATAATTTTGGGAAGCATCCCCAAAGCAGCTTCCAGGAGATTCTTGATGAATGTCATTATATCAAACACGGGAAATGGTCTGAGATTAAGAAAATTTCCAGAAGTTTATAATCCAGGATTTTGCACACTTTTCTTCTTTTCCTTTTACCCCTCCCTCTTTCCTTCTTTGGCTAAGGCAAGCCTTTCCATTTTCTGACAGCACTTTTTAACATGTTGCATGCTGTGTGCTACAAGGAAAACCACTTGAAAGCATTATCTTAGAACAAAGTAGCAGAAAAAGCAAGAGGGAAATTATTAAAAGTTGCCTGCAGTCAGATGCATACTGAATATTGTTTTTCTCCCACAAATCATGTACTGAAGCCTAAATCCCTAATATGATGCTCCCTGGAGGTAGAGTTTGGAGAGGTAGTTAATCCAGGAGAATGAGCCTTTCTGGATGGGATGAGTGCCCTTAGAAGAAAAGACACCAGACAGGTGGCCACTTTCTGCTCTAGGTCAGGCGAGGACACTATAAAAAGAGAGCATCTCTGAACCAGGAGGCCTCACCAGCCACTGAATCTGCCTGCATGAGGATTTTAGTATTCCCAGTTTTCAGAACTATAAAAAATAAATGTTTAGGCCACTCATTTTAGGTCAAATAGTTCTGTCAGCACAAACTAAAATAATTTTGTTTTGTTTTGTTTTTTTGAATTGTCTCATTTGATTTCTACAATGCTCAGGTTCTACCTTGAAGTGAACAACTGTTTCTACTTGTGAAACAGAGCTTTTAACTCAGAGTCAGCTCATTGCCAAGCACCGGAGTTCTCATCTATGCAGCCACCTTCAGAATAGTGTGGTACCCTTAATGAGGAGTCCTACTGCACAAAGGGGTGGCGTGTAGTAGTAGGTGCAGAGCGATGATGAGGGCAGGTGTTGCCCATAAAAAGACCATCATCATGCACAGAATTGTTCTTCTTCAGCTGACCGTCTCTGTTCCTATTTCACTTACTTAGAACTTTGCAACTCACTCTTCCACATGACAAGTAGCAAATAACTCTAAATGAGGTATATCTTACTATGTGGTACTAATCAAGTATTTTAAGTAATAAGCTCTGTACAGATGGAATCTTAGATTATTTGACCAAACTATGCTCAGTATGAAGTGAGTTCATAAACAATATAGGAATCTAAGCAGCCTAATTAATAAATTTGGAATTTTATTAGCTGAGCTCAGTAATCAAGTGTAGACCCCTGTTTTAGAGTCCAAATGAGTGGCCCTGAACTGAAGAGTCACAGGGCCTTTAAAGCAAAAACCACAAAGCAAGACGTCCTGCTGGAAACTTAGCTAGGATCTTACATTAATTTTGGTTGACACTTGTATTCTTTATTGAGCAGGTTAATTTTTCTGTCTTGTGGATATAGCTCATTTTGGTTTTTCTCATGGGAATTGTACCCTGAGTAATTTTTCACTCTTCTGGGTCAAACGCAGGGCATGGGTTAAATACAGGGCACAAGATGGCATCAGTTATGCTAAGCTACAACAAGTACTACCATTAATTCAACCAAGAACTGGGTTTCTCACCTATGGATCTGAGAGCTAATAAATTCCTACTGTTTGAAACTTGCCAAATGTATAGTAATTTGTTTTCCAACAAAAGAAAGCTTGTACTGTAACTCACTATTATTCTCTTTTAGTGAGAAAAAGTAAGGCATGAATGGTAAGGTTAATTGCCCGTGGTCTTCGGTGAGTACTGGAGACAATATCTAAATTTGAGTCTGAACTCAGAGTCCAACATGCTGCCCAAGTGCTGACTATAAAGCATTCTCTGCCCGTGAATCAGGTAGCATCAAAGTGCTGGTCTGATTCCAGGAGCTACTTCCATAACCATTGTGTTCTAATGCCTGTTCGGATGGTGGTCTAACTTATCTTCTTCATTTCCATGTTCAATTTAAGTAGCTATAATTGTAATTGCCATTTTACAGCACAATCTGTATTTTCTCTGAGCTTCTTGGTTTGTGATTTTAGAATATAGGTTGTTTGAATGTAGAGTTCAGTTTGTAGGACATTTTTAAGCTCTCTAAAATATTTTCATAACTCATAACTTTCTTTCACTGCTCCCACAAGCACCAAGCTAATTCTTTCTAACTTTCTGGACATTCTACTATCCCCACCGGAAAGACCTTCTTACAAACCCTAGTAGCTGAATTCCTGTCTCCTCCTCAAGCTATTGAGCCCTGCAGACCTGTGGCTGGTCAGATCGCCAGTGCTCCCCAGCCTTTGCTGTTTATTTCACTCCTTTGTTGTTGTCTTTGAAAAGAATTATAAATGTTTCTCGCCATCTGGATAGTGACATGACTTAAATGGAGCTCAGTGTTTGCTTTTAAACTTCTCCAGTCTCTGTTATGAACACAAGGGGAAATTAACATCAGAACTATATTACTTTTTACATCACAAATCTCCAGTTCCCAGTATTTCCCTTCTGATGAACTGATGGAT